ATATAAAGAGGATGTTTGGGGGGTAATATGTACTTTTTTGATATTTTAGAAACTACATATTTAGTTTGTTAGATTTGATATTAAAATGGGGAATGAAGTTGGGATAAAATTCAAGGGTAATTAATGTGCTCGTTCGGCACCTATTGTATAATTACATTTTTTTATTTTAATTTATTCATTCAAAATTTTCAGCTTTAGTTTTGATTTTTAATTTTTAATTTAGTAATATTTACTTTAATTTAAAAATTGAGGTTAAAACATTTAGTTTTATTTTTAGATTTTTACAAGTAATATACCTACCTGTACTGAACTTTAAATTGATAGACTATAAAATTTGGTAAACCTTCGATAAAGTAAGCGATTCAGGGTAATAAATAAATTCGTGGCCCTACTGAAGATGCGCAAAATAATGAATTCTCCAAATGTTAATTATTTAACACCTAGGTATTTCATTTCATAACGAAATTTTACTTCTTCCACTAGTGGGCGAAATAGCATTTCACCCACGGGCTGACTTTAAGTTAAATTTGGAAACAAGTGAGGTTAAAACTAATTGACAGCTGTCAGATAAAATATCAAATAAAATTGGCTTGAAATTCCTTGCGGTGGTTGTAGAAATTTTTTATTTTAAGTACATAAATTATTAATAAATAAGAAAATCAATTATAAAACAAAAACACAATTCTTAAAATAAATTAACAAAATAATATTAAAATAAAATAAAATATTATTGTATAATATCGCAGCAAACAATAACTTATTGTTTTATTTAATTTTATTTTGGTTATTTGACTGATCAATTGTACAAAAACAACTTAACCGGTCAATTTCACAACCCTAGTCTTATCTGTTGGTTGATTGTTGATTTTTATACGATTTAAATTAAATAATAAATAAAATTACCTAATTATATTTTAAATAATTTACAGCAAAATATTACACCCTTGGGCTTTTGAAAATTCTTAGACGTTTTCTAAATAATAATTATTAAAGTTGGGATATTTAGGTACTAAAAACTAAAAAATAGGTAACTAAAAAGGTACTAAAAAAAGCATTTTAGATTTAAAAAAACAGGATTTTAGGTAAAAAAAACATTAAAAGTTCAAGTTTTGTTTATAATTTTGTTTAGCCGCATACCCAAACACAGAACATACCCACAATAAACTATTTATATGCAATAAACTGTGTTTCACTGAGTGACACTCACTACACAGAAGTTCTATGACAGAACATAAGCTCACTACAAAGAAGGTAACTGTAAAGAAAGTTACTGTTACAGTCTGCGACCATAAGAAAAAATTCTATACCGTTGAGTTGCACGCCCTGGATAAAATATTGGCGCAAAATTTAAAAAGAGCACAAAAAAATAAAATAAGTAAAAATACGTAAAAATAGCTAACAAATAGGTGAATATAAACTGACAAATTAAAAAATATGTAACAAAAGTATAAAAAGGTAGTTTAAAGCAAAAACCTCCAAAAAAGGTGAAAACAAGTTAAAAAATAGGTAACAAAAGTATAAAAAAGGTAGTGAAAACAAGTTAGGTTCATGTAAAAGAAAATCTTTTAAAACACATTTTGGCATTATTGGTTTTCAAATAGTTCGACGGCTGAAAAAAGGTGAAATAACTAAAATCCCATCCCTAATAATTATTACAATAATAATAAAAATACTTATCACTTGTGTCTTGACTCTTGAAGTGGTAGGACGCTCTACGATAGTTAACGAGATCCCTCCTAAGCAGCGTATACGATACAAACGTAGTAAAGTATCAAAAGCGAATCTCAGTATCCGGAAATATCGGTAATCGGTAATAAATAAATAAATAAACAAACAAGTGCGAAAAGTGCAACATGTGCGAAAAGTGCGGGAGGACCCCGGTTAACGCCGTAAAAGTGTGCAAGTGAATAAGTAATTAAGGCTAGGCCACAACGATAAGCCAACTGGCCCACCTGGATAGCAGAGATTGCGCCACAATCAAAGCGTGCGAAAAAACTGCAGGCGAGGTCAAGGAACAACGAAACAACAGAAAGACAAAGCATCAGGATTATAGCCTAATAATAAATAATAAAGTAATTTTTCTAATTGCATGTCAAATTTTATTCCAAAAAATCTAAACGTAAAACGTATCGAAACATCGAAACGTAAATTTCCAAGAACCCCAGCTGGAACCAGAAAATAAACAGATTCCTATAGAAATAGACAACCCATAAATCATTACATAAACAAAACAGAAAAAGGCAGACATAAGACATTAGCTCCATCCCCCAAATAAACAATCGACTAATCCCATAAATAAACGCCAATCTAATAAATAAATAAACCCAAACCATAACAAACATGGAAATAATAAATACGATCGATCATTCTGTGGGCATAATTAAAATTCCATCTGACGGAAACTGCTTAGTGGCCAGCTTGGCCGATCAACTAGACAATAGCCTGACTAGGTCAACAATAGGAAGTACATACGCATTAAGACAAAGACTAAATACCCACTTAAGAACATACATTGAGACATAGAGAACATATTTACAGGATGCGATCCTTGACCAACCCCACCGCTACGCGCATATTAACGACTGGGAACGTAAAACAGAGGCGTACTTGAAGGACCACGCACAAGAAGATGGATTATAGTACGGTTCACCCTTTCTTCCTGACCATTGTATCTGTACGCCTGTCACTATTAACACGTGGTCAATGTTTTCTTCGATGCAATAATCTTTAACGGCACGTGCCGTAAATGCTGTCCCTCTGTCAGATATAATCCTCTTTGGGTTACCAAATACAGATGACTCTTTCTTAAGTCGGTCAATAACCTCTGCGCTATCTGTTGACTTTGTTGGATACAGCCACACAAATTTTGTGAATGAATTAACCACTATAAACAGATGCTGAAATCTCTTCTTTGTTGCCGTCATAGGCCCAAGATGATCCACATGGTATGTGTTTAAGGGTGCATCACCTTTATTAATAGGGTTCCACAGCCCCTCTGGTTTTTCGTGTTTTCGCTCAGCCAGTATACAGTTAACACAATTTGACACTAATTTTTCTACTTTTTCGCGTAATCCCGTAAACCAAAAGTCTCTCCGAACTATAGCTTCCGTCTTATTTACACCATAATGTCCGCGTTCATGAGCTTGGCGCACAACTTGTATTTTCATTGTCTTGGGTACCACTAACAACAAATCATCTTTTACAACTTTATATAAGAGTCAATGTTGCACAACATAACCGCGTAGTTTACAACTCTCCTTATCTTTTACCAACTTTCGAATTTCTTCGTCTTCACTTCACTCTTTATTGAGGTTTACAATTAGTCCATTGTCATTATCACTTATTAGTAAAACACTTGGTAACGGATTAAGACTTAGTGCATCCACATGCTTCATGTTGTTGCCTGGTCTATAAATTACATCATAGTTAAACTCTTCTAACAATAACGCCCATCGCGCTACCCGCACACACAAGTCTTTCTTTTTCATAGTCATTGTAAATGCTTGACAATCCGTATATATCTTAAAGGGAATTCCTAGCAGGTAAACCCTAAACTTTTTTAACGCCTTCACAATAGCCAACACTTCTAATTCGTAACTAGAGTATTTTTCTTCAGCGCTCGTCGTTTTACCACTCGCATAATAAATCGGGTAAAATTGTCTGTCGACACTATCGCGTTGCATTAATATAACTCCGTAACCGCGTCGCGACGCATCCGCATGAAGCTCCGTATCAGCACCCATACGATATAAACGTAAAACTGACCCGTTAGTTAGCGCTGTCTTTAAAGTTTCAAAGGCTTCCACTTCACGGACTTCAAATTTAAATTTAGTGTCCTTCTTTAATAAATCTGTGAGAGGTCGTGCTATTAAAGAATACCGTGGTATAAATTTACGAAAATATCCTGTCAACCCCAGGAAACTTTGTCTTAACATTTGTCGGTTTCGGAAAATTCATCACCGCTTTTGTCTTGATTTCTGACGGCCGCACTGTATTGTTACTCACAATATGACCTAGATATTCAATTTCCTTTCGTAAAAATTGACACTTACTCCAATTAATTTTTAACCCGTGTTTTGCCGCGACTTCTAACACTACTTTAAGTCTTTCGATTGCTTCTTTGTTATTATTTGCGGGTATTATCACATCGTCGATATAAGTCACTACAATCTTTCGTTGTATTAGATCCTTAAACAATGCATTTATAAACTTTTGAAAATATGCCGACGAACACTTAGTCCAAACGGTGTCTTTAAAAATTCGTACTGACCGGTCGGCGTTACAAAAGCCGTGATTTTTTGACTCCGTTCTTCGACTGGCACATAGAAAAAACCATTTTCAAGATCGATCGTCGTAAATATTATTGCACCTTGTAATGAATCTATTTGATTCTCTATCAGTGGCAACGGGAACTGCAATCGTTCAATTTTCTTATTAAGTGCCCTGTAGTCCACACATACTCTTGTCGTACCCTTTTTCTTTTTAACAAGGACTATTGAAGGTAGAATTATGCCGGCCAATCCTGTATGACAATTTCAACTTCGTCTCTTTCTGCTGGTGACAGTCTTCTCGGTCTGGCAACCACTGAAATATCGTCTTTCACAATAATTTTCGTTTGAATCTCGACGCTACACGTTTTCTCGGGCTTATAAGTGTTAATTAATTGTTTTAGTCTTTCGCGATCACTCGGTTCTTTAATCTGTGACATAATATACATTTGTTACGTCTACTACGTTAATATTATATATTTCCGGCACATCTGGATTATCATTAACTTTTACTTTCGCGAAAGTAACGTTTCCTCTTTTTACTCTTAATTCCACCTTGTTTAAAAAGCCTGTTCCTAACAATAGGCTTCGTAAAATTGTACTACTAACTACATGAAACGTAATAGGCTATTCTTCCCCATCGACCATAACTCTTGCAGAAAATTCACCCATCGTTTCATTACCGATAGAGCCAAGTCCCTCGAATTTAACCTTGCGGTTTAGCAGCGCAGGTTATCCAATTTTGACATATTCGTCTGTCCTCATAAACGTAAGATCGCTGCCTGTATCTACAAGCGCCGTAAACTTTTGACCCCCTATCACTACGTCTTTCATGTATTTTTTATCTCCTGGTCGCGACACAAGATTTGCTTCTTTTACTTTTGTGGGACAAACTGTTGCTTTGTGTCCATGTTTGTTGCATTTAAAACACTTGACACCCTTGTCCTTTACTGGACAATCTGCACTTACGTGATTTTTATCACCACAATTAAAGCACCGCCTCGTTTTTGTCGCTGCCGCAGCTGTCGTTGACACTGCCGACCTTTTTTGGGTTCCTTTGCTGTCGTCTCTCCGTTCTGCAACTTTCGCTTTGTTTTTCATTTCTCGTTTCATACCTTCATATTGGAAAAATCTCTCCTTCAGTTGCTTTATCGTCTTAGCTCCGTATAAAATAGACTTGTTAACCGCATCGTCTGCGAACCCTTCTATTATGAACTGAATTACGGACCACTTTTCGACCATTGCCGGTGTTGCAATTTCCAGCATTTTGTAGACGTACTCCTGGTATGTTTCGATCGTCTTTTTTTTTCTTTCTTGCAACCTTGCGTGAATTCGATGACTATCTACTCTGTCGTCAAATTCATCTCTTAGCGCTCTTTTCAGCCGATTCCACGTCTTCGCACACCTTTCGTAAATAACGAATAGTCTGGCTGATCCTGTTAATAATCTTTTTGCGTATGCCACCTTTTGTACTTCGGTCCATATGTACATTTCGGTCATATCCTCGAAATCTTCGATCCACCGTCGCACATCAGCCTGGTCGTCTCCACTGAATTTCTCGAGGGATTCCTCGACTTCCCCAAAGGTTAATTGCACGCACGGCCTTGCGCGTGACCTGTTGCGGACATTAGGCGTTAACCTTTCTTTATCTTCTTCGTCGTAATGGGCGTTGCGCTGACTGTTCTCAGCCCGCTCCGCCAATTCGTCGTCGTGTTGCCCGTCGTCTTCGGCGTCGTTTTCTTCTTTGTCGTCTTCGTCGTCGTTGTGACCGTCATCTTCTGGTTCATTTTCTCGATTGCCGTGAATTCTTACTAGTGTTAGCGCATCCATAAGGCGATCCACCAGCTCTCGCTTTCTTACCGACACTCGTAGTTGACGTCGTCTCTTCTTTGAACTCAGGAACTGTCATGCGAAGCACTTGTTCGTCTTCGATGTCTACCAACCCTCCATTTTTGTCGTATTCCATGTTTCTCTTGTTTATTACACTTTTCAACTTCTCACTCGCGAATAACCGTTGCTAAATCCACTTAAGTGTGGATTGGCTAAATCAATCCCGTTGAGCCCCCAAAATTTGTAGGGATTTAGTTGCTAGATTATTTTAAGAATAAGAAGTCCGTAAACTTTAAATTAAAAATAGTCGTTTATTAAAAAGAAAAATGTTAAACAACAAATGAAACTAAAAGTAAATATAATACGTCTTAATACACCGACGGTCGCGTTAAATCTAACTTAGGTACTATTACATATCTTTGGGGTTACTTCACATTCCCACGCATCTATTTTAGTCTTTTACGTTATCTACACTTTCACACACATATTATCAGTCCTAGACCCTTGCGGTCGTTCGAAAACACCTTATTGAACTTAAACACTTGACGCCTAATTTTAACCTACATAAATAAAAGTCTTTAAATTTAAACATTACCACAGAGTCTGGGAAAATTCCGATGCTACATAAATAATTTATGCAAATCAACAATAGTTAATTATTCTATAAGTAAAGAAAAGTGATATATTTATAATTAATGGAAATATCAAATTTCCAAGAGATAGAAAAATTGGAGTGCACCCATTAACCACGCTGTTTTGTCATATTTTTAATGGGATAGTGCATTGCATATAGCATTGCATATGGGGAAAGGCGGCGATTTCTGAAGAGTGTGAGGTTTGCTGCACGAGCGAGGCGAATATAGAACACACTATTTAGAAATCGCCTCCTTTCACCACGAAATATGTACACTATTTTTTATGACAAAACGGAAATTCGACTTTCGCTGCCTTTTAAGCGAGAAAACACATAAACAAAAATATACCAAACGAAAGACAATAATTGGCTTAATTAATAATATTAATTATTAAAGAACTTATGTTAAGTCGAATTTATGCTGGGCGTTTCATGAAAAAGCATTGATTAATATAATACTTTTCTTTACGATTTTTAAAATGTGCTTAATAAAAGTGTTGGTTGGTTAAAAAAGTTGTAACCGTCATTTTGACAGTTACCCATTGATTTTGTTTTATTAGTTTTTGTACATTTATAACGGTAGGGATGTGAACTGTTAAGTGGTTTATTTTTAGTTTGACTAATTTTTAAGTATATTTTTAATAATGATATTTGTTTAGTTGCCTCTTTCCAACATCTTGGCAACATTGTATTTTTTTTGTTTAAATAATCTTCTACGCACTTAATAAGGTTTACGTTTGCCTTTTCCGTTTTAACACTGAAGCCGTTTAGTTGGGAGTAAGCGTTGGCTTAAAATTTGGATAGAATTCCAAAGATGTGTAGTAATTCTCCTGGTTTAATGGCTCAGGGCCGGTTAAAGCATTAATTGTTTTATATGAAAGCTCTAGGTGAGTTGATAACTTTTAAAATAGTGGTCGAATATTCCTAACCACACGGTCTCCATTTTAGGTGTGAGATTTTCCAACGTACTTTTTGTTGACCTAGACCTTGAATGGTTTTTACTTTAAAAACTCCTTAAAATAAGGGTAAGCTAATGTCAACGGATTTTGTAGGGCGATAAAGCGGGTTCGTATTTCTTTTTAGGGTTTTTAATATGGAGTATAGTTTCTGTGGAGCTAATCAGTTTTTTTATGTTGGAGTTTTTGTAAGACTTTTTATGTCAGATTTGTTGTAAAGAAATGGATTTTTACCCTGAACTTGTTTTGGATAATGGAAAGTTCTAACGTTATTGAAAAGCCATCCTGTATAATCTGTCATACCAAGGCCCCAACTAAGATCAGGTCGTACCAATTTTGAATTTTAATGTTAACGTGCACTACACTCCTTATACGTTTGTGTACTTTTGAGTTTTAAATTGTAGTTATTTTAAATATATTTTTTTTGTATCATCGATAACATTTTATCAGTTAATTTAGTCATTAGACTTTGGTTTTTGTAAACCATATATGGCCATATAAGGGTGCACCAAAATTATAGATCAAACAAATATTTAATATTACATGAAAAGTGATCACTGCAACATCGGTGTAACAAATATAACTGGGCTCCCAATTTTAATTTGCCTTTATTTTAATTTAGTAAATATATTTGTATACACGTAAGTATTGAAAAACAACATTTGCCCATCGACCTATCTCTCCGCTGAAAAGCTGCCTTTCGCCATAGCCCTCGAGTTGAGGTTACAAAGTGTTGCTAACCAGAAAACGTGTACTTTTTTTTTACTATTTCTCTTAATAAAGTAAGTATGCTCTTTTTCATTAAGAATACGAACAAATATAGCCTTTCAAAATAAACCCTTCAAAAATAATTACTATAATAATAATCATAATTATTCATATTAAAATGTTTAATAAGAAAAAAATATAAACTAAGGTTAAAAAATAATAGGGATATTTAAAATTTAATATAAAATTAATTAAAACCCAGTTTTTGTTTTTTTAAACCGCACATTTCTAATACAGATATTATTTTATAAACATGCAAAATACCAATATTAAAAACTACATAGAAAAACAATCACATGTTAAAAATTCATTTATGTCTTATTAAAGTTGACTCTTTTATTTCATTTGAAACTCTATTATAAAAATTAGGTGCATTAAGTATATTTGGAATCATTTCTAGATCTATTAATCCGTTAACATAAAAATTTTAAAATAATACGGAAATTTAATTCATTTATATCTTGGAATATTAAAAGTTTTAAAATTTTAAACGTAGGTACTTACGGTAAATAAAGAAACTCGATATCACAACACATTTCAGTCGCGGTGACAATTGCTCGCAAGAAGATAAATACAGTAACTGTATATATATTAGGGTATGAGTATGAGTATGTATGAGTATGGGAACGTATGGCAGGCCCCAAATATATTATCATCCACTAATCTCCCGGGGTTATTTTACCCCCTTTCCGTTCTCCTGCGTATCCCGCCAAATCACAGAGTATCTCTCTGTGCCTATCTGGCTGGTAGATCCACCCTAGGAGGTCGTGGATGACAGTGTCAAAGGTTAAGGCCGCTCCACGGATTTTTGTCAGCCGGGTCGGGCCATACGTCCAGTTTAGGAAGGGTTTTTAGAGGACATTGAACTGACCGAAAACTAAGTACAATCTGGAATCCTCCTTAACCAGGGCTTTAGTAATAACCCCATTCATTTGGTATTCCTGAATGGGGGTGGGTGGATTAGTATGCCGCTAGCGCCTTTCCTTGATAGTGTACTTCCTGTTCGTCGCTGTCCGAGTCGGATTTCGGTTCCTGATAGCCGCTTTAGAATTGTTTGCCCCCCTGTGCGATTGAGTCTTATCTTCAGAACCAAAGTGTTGCCGGCCGTACCCCGCCGTAATTAGTGCCCTCTGACTATGTAGAAATTCGTTTAACCTACTGGAATTGTCGACCCTCGAATTATTTATTTTTTCCCACTGTGCGTGATCCCCATTCACTTGGGGTTGGATCCATCTTTGCGCCTCACTATGCATTGCGGCTATATGCTTACTTAACGGTTTTTACTTAATTTATGACCCCTTACGTCTTAATAATCTATAGATGTAACATAAATAAATAAATTTCTTTAGGATGGTTTCTTTTGCCTAATGTTTATCGTAACTTGAGTGAATAATGGCTTCTGTGCCCTTGTGTTTATAGTTTTTTTTTACTGTTTCATTTGCATGAGAATCTTGGAAATTGTTTGCGACTAATTAATTTTACCTGAAGAATTATTGTTAGTTAAAGGTTGCGTATTTCGTATTAACTAGTATTAATATTATTGGGTGGTCATGGTCATGCAATTTGGTAGCTACTTATCTAGTTTATGCAGAATTGGACTTCGGGATATTTGCCAGGCGAGTGTGCTAAAATTGATCCTTATCGCCCGCACGTGTCGTAGCCCAGGAAATTTTCATTGGAACTGATCGTCTCTCTCACACCTTTTAATCAGGTCAAACACTTGAGGACTTAGTCCAGGGGGAGGTACCACACACAATTTGCACTCTTTTGCACTTGGGACAGTTATCACGACGTGTAGAATCGATATGTATATCAAGATGGCGGCAACTAAAAACAACTTATTAAGTGATCCACAAAAATCATGCAAAAAGTGTAAAAATATAGCACAAACAGGACTAAAGTGTGTTAATTGTGGTGTAGTGAGTCACAACAGTTGTGTGAAACTATTGAAAAACGTCCAGATCATTGACAACAAGACTATGATCTGCTGTGATAATACCAAAAATGACGACAACGATTGTTCGTTTGAAAGTGCGACCAATGAAGATGTGGATGAGGCTGCATCAAGCACCGATGTTAAGTATCTAAAAATACTTCTTAGACAAAAGGACCGCATGATAGATAGCCTTGAAGACAAAATTTTAATATTAAAGAATCAAGTAAGTCTCTTGGAAAAAATGTCCATCATTAATAATATGGCGACACCTACAAGTTCTAATGAAAACTTAAAATTAAATAAAAAGGAAATCTGTAGCAAGCAAACTTTGCCCGATGCCGAAAAAACTAAACTAAATATAATAAAATCACCTGTTAGGCAAAACAATTTACAAGACAAAAAACAACTGCAACAAAAAACAATAATAAACAAACCTGAAATATCAACACAAACAAAAATTGATTTAATAAAAACAACAAAAAAACCAAAAACTATAAAATATGGTACAGGAATAGCATGTCCTACTCTCGGAGCCTTTATGCCGTTATCACATGTTCATGTATCTAAGATAGGATTGGAGTTTTCTGATGAGGATGTTATTAAGTATATTAAATCCAAAATAAACATTGAAGTTAAATGCGAAGAGTTGCAAGTTAAATCAAAAACTTTAAGGTATCAATACCCGCTAATGAAAGTGAAAAACTTTTGGATCAAAACTTCTGGCCACAAAACATTGCCATTCAAAAATTTAAAAATTACACGAAACGAAATTTTCAAGCAAACCTAGACATAGAAAATCAAAAGTAAAAGTTACAAACCTTGACGACTGTAATAACTACACAAAACTTCTACATATGAACACACGTTCAATCAGAAACAAGATAAACGAAGCTGAGGCTTTTCTCTGTGATTTAAATGTAAGCATAGTTTGTTTGACTGAACACTGGCTCAACTCCTGTGAGATGGAACTGCTTAAAATATGTGACTATCTGGTTGCTTCATCCTTTTCAAGAAAAACTTTTAAAGGTGGAGGGTCTGTGATACTAATAAAACCAAACTTAAATTTTACTCGGTTAAAAAATATTGAATGTTTGTCTGCTGAAAAAATCTGTGAAATATCTTGCATTTTTGTTCATTCATTAAATACTGCTGCCTTATCTGTATATAGATCACCATCCTCAAGTTTTTTATGTTTTCTTGGTATAATTAAAAAAGCTTTAAGTATACTTGAATTCAAGAATATAATTGTTGCTGGTGATTTTAATTTGCGTTTCGATAATGAAAATAAAGAATGTGCACAATTTATCGACTTATTAACAACGTATAACCTAAAACAAATGATAAAAACTGCAACAAGAGGTCAATATTGTATTGACAATATTTTCCTTAATTTTAATACTAAGGGAAGCTTTGGACATACTATAGAAACTAACCTATCTGACCACTCAGGACAGATTTTAAACTTTAAACCAACAGCTCAAAATAATCGTAAAATTGCTTATGTGCAAAAAGAATGTAGACCCATAACTCAAATGGGTAAATATAAATTTTTTGATGAAATCTCAAATATTTCTTGGGACTTTATAAAATGTAATAATTTATCTGTAAATGAAAAATTTGATAGATTTATTGAACATCTCTTAAACTCTTATCTTCACTCTTTTCCAGTTAAAAAAATGGCTTGTAAACCTAGATTATCTTATGACCAGATCTGGTTCAATGATAACTTAAAACTTATGAGAAATCAGTTGCTTTTCATAAATGATCTATGTAGAAAAAACCCTCAGAGCTCATATTTAAAACAACAAAAATTAAATTACCAGAAAAAATATAAAACCGCTATTCAAACTGCAAAAATAAAAGCAAATGACTTTTTAATAAAAAACTCAAATTCTGCTATAAAAACCATGTGGGAAATTATTAATGATAAACGAAATAATAAAACTGAACCCAAAAAACATAACATTTCTCCAAATAGATTTAATAACTATTTTATTAATATAGCTAAAAACTTAGTAAACAAAATAAAACCAAACGAAGAGGTTCACAATGTTGTCATAGACCCAGTTCTTAAATTTGAATTCTTACCAACCACCTTTAATATTGTAAGAGATATCATAAAATCCTTAAAAAACTCTAACACCAAAGATGTATATGGTTTAAGTACCAATGTTCTCAAGGGTGTAAGTAATATTATAATTGAACCAATAACCAAATTAGTTAATTTATGTATAGAAAACAATATATTTCCGAACAAACTAAAGGAAGCTTTGGTTATTCCTATTTTTAAAAAAGGAGATCCTGAAGACCTTAACAATTATAGGCCAATATCTCTCCTACCAATAATTTCCAAAACTTTTGAAAAAGTGCTAGCAACACAGATTATAACCTACTTTGAACAAAATAATCTTTTTTATAAAAATCAGTTTGGTTTTAGGAAAAATAAAAATACGACACTGGCGGTGTTGGAATTGGTTGAAAAAATATTAGACTCTTTCGAGAAACATGAACATCTGGTCGCTGTTTTTTGTGATTTGTCCAAAGCGTTCGACTGTGTAACTCACGAAGTATTGCTTGGCAAACTAAAAAGCTATAATTTCACAACTAATGCTATTAATATGATTAGATCCTACTTAACAGACCGTGTACAGCAGGTTAGAGTAAATGGGTTAATGTCTGATAGGGATGTGATTGACTATGGGGTTCCCCAGGGTTCTATCCTTGGACCATTGCTTTTCTTAATCTACGTCAATGACTTACCCAACTTTAACCACACAGCCAATCACATTCTGTTCGCTGATGATACCACCATTATTGTAAAAGGAAAAGACTCAGAATATTTAGTTAATGCGTCGGTGAATGCACAGTCGAGAGCTACTACCTGGTTTCAAAATAATTATTTGACTTTAAATGAAACAAAAACAGTAAATATGTTTTTTACGTTAGGTAAACATATAAATAATCAAGTTGCTTTTAGCGAGCACGCAAAATTTTTGGGGGTTATTATTGATAAAAGACTTCAGTGGAACCATCATATAGATGAGGTTGCCAAGAAATTTGGCAAGCACATCTATCTTTTAAGGAATATTGCAAACTCAGTCTCAAACAAAGTTCTTAAGACAGCCTATTTTTCATTGGGCCACTCTCTCTTGTCCTATGCCATATTGGTGTGGGGGCAATCTGCGGGCTGGAAAAGATTGTTTTCTCTACAACGCAAGGCTGTAAGAATAGTTGGCAAACTAAAATATTCTGAAAACTGTAGAACTAAATTTTCAGAACTAGGTATCCTTACACTACCCTGTATTTATATACTAGAAATACTAGTGTATACAAAAATAAACATGGAAAAATTTATTGTAAATCAAACCAACTACACTTACACCACGCGGATTAGCGAAAGGTTAAGGTTACCACTCTGCAGACTAACAAAAAGTCAGAAGCATATACATTTTTTAGCTCCTAAATATTTTAATAAATTGCCAGAGAACATAAAAACCAAAGATCTTAAGTCGTTTAAGTCAGCGGTTAAATGTTTACTATTAAAAAATGCATTTTATTCATATGATGAGTTTTTACATTTCAACTTTTGTTAAATATTTATATATATGTATATACACTTGTCTGTTTTTATTGTTTTGAAGTAATGTACCTTTTTGTGTAAAGTAATATACCTTCTTATGTATGATTATTAATTAAAATCTATGCTGTTATTTTTAATTTTGACAAATGTAAGTACTTTTGTATAGTAACATGAATAAATTATTATTATTTAAATTATTATTATTAAAATATTGTTTTTTATTATTTTACGGCGTTAACCAGTTATCACGTGTAGAATCGATATTGAGTTTTTGTTATTTTAAGGAGCACTTTTCGAAATTGTTGCACTTTTCGCACTTGTTTGTTTATTTATTTATTTATTTATTACCGATTACCGGTATTTCCACATACTTAGATTCGCTTTGATACTTTACTACGTTTGTATCGTATACGCTGCTTAGGAGAGGTCTCGTTAACTATCTTTGAGCATCCTTACACTTCGAGAGTCAAGACCCAACTGTAACTGTATATTAGGGTGTTTAAAAAAAAAGAACAATTATTTTTTTTCCAATGGTGTTGAAAAATTAATAGTACATTAAAAAACACAAATGTTGGTGCCTATTTGAGCCCTTAATATTAATATTAAGGCTTGCCTCAATTCATTTGTTGTTTTTCCATTTCAATAAAACGGGAATTTTTATTTTTTTAATTTTGAATTCTTATAACTTTAGAATGGTTTGTTTTCGCAACACCCAAGCGAGAGGTGTTATAGACAATTTCACGCTCTATAAAAAACATCAAAGTTCTTCAGATCAACCGTTTCAAAGATATCAGCGATCAAAAATAACACTAATGAAAAATTTCAAATATTTTCAAATAAAATACAAATCTATCATATCTATATTATTTTTTTTTGTAAAATCACTTTAATTCTGTTAACCTGAGACTGTAAACTTTTTTTTTATTTATATACATATATATATATATATATATATATATATATATATGGGCAGATCCATTACTTTTCGACAAAAGTGTGCGGGGGTAAGTCACCGATTTGGCTGCCGATTTTTTTCTCGAAAGTAGGTCAAATAAGGAGACGATCCTGAAAATTTGAGCTTGATATAGGTAATTCCGGCTGCAAGAAAATTTTTTGAAATATAAAAAAAGTCGATTTTTTAGTCATTTTCAAAAATTCCTATCTCAGCTCCTATTTAACTTAGAGATTTGATCGAGACGGCATTTTTCTCTGTTATCCCTCTATTTTCAAGAAAAAAATAGGTTTTAAGTTTAAACTTAAATTCGGCTAAGCTGTAAGCCTCCAAATAAAACACTGCTTAAGATAAATTTTGCCAATTTTTAAAGTGCTCTCAAATCTACAGTTTTTGAAGCAGTGGAATAAATGACAGATGATATTTTTCGTTAAGGTATACTCTGTTGGAATTTACCCATTTTTTACTTGATTGCTTCGATTTCTCTAATGTATGGCCACTCAAAGACAATTGATTTTTGAAAAATCAATGTTTTCAGATACCTACAACTTTTTTCTATCGATCCGAAATCCTTTGAAAATTTCAGGGATTATACTTTATTCTATTCCCAAACAAACCATCAAAACTTTTCCTTGGGTATTGAAGTGTTTTCCGAGCTATGAATTTTTAAAAATGTCAAATTTTCAATATAATATGACATTTTTGGTAGTTTTATTTTCAGTTAAATGAATTATTAGTAATACTTTAGTCAATAATCCATTGGACCTTGTTCATTTTTCTCGAAAGTAGGTCATTTATGGAGACGATCCTGAAAATTTGAGCTCGATATGGGTAATTCCGGTTGCAAGAGAATTTTTTGAAATATATAAAAAGTCGATTTTTTAGTCATTTTTAAAAATTCGTATCTCAGCTCCTATTTAACTTAGAGATTTGATCAAGACGGCATTTTTCTATGTTATCCCTCTATTTTCAAGAAAAAAATAGGTTTTAAGTTTAAACTCAAATCCGGCTAAGCTGTAAGCCTCCAAATAAAACACTGCTTAAGATAAATTTTGCCAATTTTTAAAGTGCTCTCAAATCTACAGTTTTTGAAGCAGTGGGATGAATGACAGATGATATTTTTCGTTAAGGTATACTCTG